AACCCCAAGCCTGGGACATCACCATTGCAGGTCCTTTCCCAGCACCCCCTCCAGCAGGAGACAGAGAGCATGGCACATGCTTCTCCTGCACCCCTTTCTATTCAGCTCTGCATTACCTGCTACAATTGCCCAGTGCAAAACATCCAGACAGCAAATATTACGCATAGAAGGGGATCTAACCAGTACTGAGATATATACACCATAGCTCTCCAAAGAAGCAACAGGTGTACAGAGAAGTATGACTCAGCTAACAGATCCACCCTCTTTGCATCAGCAGATCAGAGTTCACTTGTCCACATAATGTTTGCATTCACATGGAGGAGGGTTTCTGGTGGCTTCAGGCCCAGTGGGTTTTCTATGCCTATTTTAGAGAATATTTGTGGTGGTTTCCCCTGAACCGACAAGGTTAACTTCAAGTCCTTACCCTTGAGACAGTTTTATAGCAGGGTGCCTGGTAAAGACAGAACTTTCATTTTGTTTGTAAGTGGAAAGAATTACTGTTTGGAAGTGGCTGGCAGTTTTGTCATTCTGGAGATGGAGACTTTAATATCCCAGAAGACTTTCTTTATTTCGGAAAAATTACTAAAATGGATTCCTTAGAAAAGCAAATATAAAGCACCCATTCTTTTTCTCAGAGAAAACTCTGAAGATATAAATTTGAATGTGGGGCAGTTGATTAACTTGTTATGTGATCTTTGTAGTAAAGTGAATGCATTGTGTCTTTAACAGGACTGATTCCTAGATGAGGTAGATAAATGTTTTCTTTCCTAAATATGGAATTGGAATAAAAGTTTGGGGCTCTGCACATGGTGTTATTTAATGTTAAGGAACTTAGCTATTGGGAAAATGTAGCATTAGCCTTTATGACTGCCTTCAAAGGGCCATAAAAGTCACCCTGTAGTCTGAGAAAGTGTTTTCTAATTAAAGGATTATGTGTTCCCATGATGAGCCACACTGGGGTGGAAAATGAGGACCTCCTTCTCTCACTCTGCCCGAAGAATTGAGGCCAGGACGTGGAAGGCCTGGAAGGCCAGGAGAGTCTTGTGGATGGGGGTTAGGCTGCTTCCCATAACCTGGGAGTCTGCTGGGCTACGACGCTGGGATTAGGTTCCATCCTGTGGGCTCCAAGAGTGGCCTCTTCTGTCGGCAGTGCAGGCCACTCTGGCTTCTATTGCTTCTGTTACTCCTAAAGCATTAGGTAAAAACTTGGTGTTAGCTGTGCTCTGAGTGTTTAAGGCATCAGCCTGTTTAAAATAGAATTTTGTTTTTATTCAGGTATGGTGAGGTCAATAGATCAGGAGAT